TTTTAATTTAACAATTAATGCGTATTTTTCTTTTCTTCATTTCTTTTTCTTCGATTGCATTCGTTTTTCGTAAAGATAAACTACGTTCAATTTGCGTTGTGGAAAAATTTGTTGATAAAATAGAAAAAATGATAAAAAAAAAAGAAAAGAAAAAAAAGAAAAAAAAAGAGAAAAGAATAAGAAAAACGAAACGTCATCATTTAAAATGGAGGATATAACTTTTGTTAATTATAAAGTGGGCCACTACACAAGAACTGCAATTTTAAATTAACGAATAAGACAAGCTTTTCTTTTTTTAAATAATCATGTTTATCGGTATCAATGTAATCAATGCCAATTCATTGTTTTATACATTTTATATATTTTATTATATTTTTTTTTTTATTAAAGCTATATTTGTGTTTGTTCGGAAAGTAATATCGTTTTTTTTTCTAATGCTAAATAAAAGACGATTTTTTCATATACGTTCGAGAGTACGATCTTTCAGAAACGAAATTTCGGAAATGAATTTTGATATTGGCGTTCAATGAACAAATTCTCTCCGTAAACAAGACTGGCAATTTTGTTCTTGCGCTGCATTATTTACCATTAGGGTAATAAAAGAAAAAAGGAAAATATGACTAAAACGTTAATTATGACTTTTCATATCTGTGGTGCGATAGCAGAAAAAAAAAACCTTACTCGACGAATCGAAATACAAGCAGGTTCTAAATCACGTATGAAAGTGTCTGTTGCTGGAATGTTAAATGATTTTGAGGTTTAAGAGTTAAATTCGGTATCGCGGTAAACGTGACTTACGAAATTTAAAGTAAGAAAAATGATATTATTTTTTCGAACAATCTCCAATAGTAATTCGATTAAATATGAAAATGTTATAAAAATCTTTAAATTATATTGAATGATCCATAATAATTTATAATCTGTTAGATTTTCATTTACTGTTCTATACAAAAAATGTTATCTTTTCTAATGACTGATTGATCAACATAACATTATCTTGTTTTTAACAATTTTTCATTCGATAATAGTTCAAAATAAAAATTTTACAAATAATTCGTTCTGACAGAAAATAATATGAATTCCCGAATTTTTAAAAATAAATGATAGAAGAAAGAAATTATTATCAGTAATTTGGTATTTTATAAAAACGAAATTACAGATATAACGGAGGGGGGGTTGAGGGTTAGGGAGAGAAAAAACAAAAATAGAAAGAAAGAAAAGAAATTACTAAACGAGAAAAATAAAATTCTTCGGAATTTTTTTTTTTAAGAGAGGACTTTAGGAATTAATTAGCATAAAATTTTCATAATGCGGGAATTTAAAGAAAAAAAGAAAAAAGTTCGAAAAACTTAGACTAGTTGAAGAAAAAGAAAAAATAAAAAAAATACGCGAAACCAGTTCGGGGAACAACACGTGGTTAGTTGAATTCGTTTCACTGATTTTATCGACGACTCGTATGGTTAACGAGTAACCGTTGATTTGTCTGAGAATTTCAAAGCGAAGAAAAATAAAGTTTATACTTTTAATAATCGGCCAAGTCGCGTGAGAAACCGGTTTTGTTGACGCGCGTTACGCACCATCGTGTGTCTCTTCATTCGTTCTATAACCTGATTGCATTTTCTACCTTGTAGCATCATCATCATCAGTCGCGATCTACCTAAGTTTCAACTCGGACGTGTCTCTTTTTTCATCGTATAGGATTATTATAATAATCGTCGATGTTTACGCAAATTTTTTCTTTTTTTTCATTCTCGGGTGAAACGACGAGTAAGAAAAATATATTTCCCCTTTTTTTTTTTAATCTTTTCTTAAAATTAGAAGAAAGCTTTCTTTTTTAAAAATGTGTGACATGTGTGAACCGAGTAAAAAAAAAAAATAATTTCTTTGTATTCCTGTTAATTTCCATTAAACTCTTTTAAATTATAATTGAGTTGTATCATTTTTTAATGCTTTGCTGACATGTTTTTTCTTTTTCTTATTTTAGTCAGATAATATATTCCAAATAATTATATTACGTTATATTAACAGTTACAATCTCGTTGATCTTTGGACCCTCTTTCAAAGTATCGGATGTTGTTCGAATTTATTGAACAATATTATTTGATACATTGTGATATATGATGATTAAATAGAAATGTTTTTTTTTTTTTATATTGAAATTATCCACACGTACGTACATATTTATATCATTATCCATACATCCTGAATATTTATGAAACAAAGAATTGCCAGCATGAGTTCAAATGAGATTAGATAAGTTTACGGATTAAAGATTACATTATGTAAGATTATATAAAAGGAAGAAAATATTTCATGGAATATAAAAAATACCATTAGATCACATAAATAAAAAATAACATGTTAAATTAAGAGAAGAATCAACGAATTTGTTCATTTTGCTTAATCGCGGATGTAATAAAATGTTTTCGCAATTTAGGAAACAGGATATTCGATTAGTACGAAATATTTCTAATTTCTTTTCCCATAAAAAAAAGAAGATATATAGATATATACATATACATATATAAAACCCATAAACACCGGATAGATCATTGCCACTGTCGAAAACGAAATTCAGCATATAAGTTCCGGCTGATTATTTCACTCGTATAGGTTTCTCATCTAAATGTCAAGGTATCGACTACTATGTCGTTGGTTTTGAAAATCAACGTATTCCTTTGGAATGGGTTTGAAACGTGAAACGCGAGCTTGCGTGCGTAACTTTCTTTGAAATTAAATTCACACGAGGCGAGGCAAGCCCTCGCTTAAATGTACATATTTCTACGTATCTCTACATATACATACATATATATATATATATATATATATATATATATATATATACATATGTATGTATGTATGTATCCTTCAGGTACAA